CATAGTTGGGAAGTAAGGATATGGGAGGGTGAACAGAAGTCCTGTACCACAGACCAAATGTTCTTATACCAGTAGTGGCCAAGACTGATATTCCACCAAGAGCATGTTTTTTATTTCCTCTGGAATATTTAATACACTTGTGCAATGGTTCAGTGGCTGAGGTAGGTGAATAGAGAAATAAATGTAACTTCCTGTGACTCATATGCAGTGATTAATAGTCCTCATAACCTTGAATGAACAACTGGAACCCCAAGAGAGAATAAACTCACTGAGAAGTGAAAGTATAGAGGAAGGAAGGGAGGAGCATAAATGGAATGTTATCCTTCTTCATGTAAAAAAACTAAAAGCCATGCAGAGTGAATATAGAGAAGAGAGTATTTCCAAGCTAGAAAGGTGTTGGATAGTCAACTATTAGCTGACTACAGTATACAGAAACAAGTAAGGAAGTTGCTTCATCTCTCAATGAAATGAGAGGTATGGCAGAAGTAAAGGCACAACAGAAATTGCTGGTTGAGCACAGTAAGTATGTAGTGGTGTAAACGTTCCTTTGTAGAGGTGGGAACCTACTCTTTGAATGCAAGGAGTAAAGATACAAATCTAATTATCATCATGAGCTCTCCTCTGCAAACCTTTAACCTGTTGGGGATTTTGATGCTTAGAAGTAGGATCTTGGAAAATACTGACAGCATCTGTAAATTCATACAGCATAGAGTATTAGAGATTGTCAAAGAGTGCAATTCTTAGCTCCTTAATCATTTACTATGAAGATAAAAGTGGAAATTGGGATATATAAATATATATGTGTTGCTGAAATTGTCGAGTATTTATCTTTATGTTCATATTAATATCGACATGCAAATTCTCTAATTTAAGTTTCTAGCTTTCCAGTCGTTACTTTACTGGTATTACCTGAGGTTTAGAAGTCTGTTTTTCATCGTAGAAGTGTTTTAAAGCTAATTCAATGTCCTGCTTAAACCTTTCAGTCAGTACCTTTTGGTCTTTAGTAATAGCATAGCTCTGTAATAATTGAGAGATGAAAAAATATGTTGTTAATAAAATGGTCATGCCCAGTGTAAGCATTCTGCTCTGTTTGAAAAAAATAACAAAAATTAACTGTTAAGAGTTGACTGAACACTGCATGCTTTATTTTCTTATTATTTCTCTGTGGATGGAAAACAGAAGGGAAAAGCACAGTGGCTTTCATTTGTTACAGCTTCCTAGAAATCCTTGTGACTCTGAAAAAAGAGAATTCACTTGCATGTAAATAAAGCTTATTGACTTGGGAAGCAGGATCATGATCAGTGTTTATTTTACTTAGAATTAATGCCTTGCCTAACAGTGGGTTCCCAATGGTAAGTTCAGGCATCTTGACAATGAGTCAAGTGAAGCAAAACACAGTCCTTTCACCCCAAAGTGCCTGAACTCCCTGATAACAAGATAGCTCTGCATGCAGTAATTGCACATATGCACAGAAGAGTTGGGCTAAAATTGTGCCTGGGACTGTGTATTTGACACTTCAGAATCATGAGCAATGATTTTTATGTTTCCACTTTTCCATAAAGGATGTTCTTGTAGGAAATACAAACTAAAAGCATATGCAACTGTCAAGTGATTGTGATGAAAAGCCAGACAGGTTGCTGAATCTGACCTTTCAATATTTATTATTGCCAGGATGCTTTTAAACAGCACTTTAGAAGCAGTTGAAATTATTCCAATGTAGTGCTTTATTGTGGCCCCTACTTCTAAAATGAAGTCATAGATTTTAGAGACTGTAGGAGTAGATTTTTTTAAAAAAAGAAACCTCTCTTTTGGTGGAAAGATCATCTAAGACAGATGGATTTTTTTTTTTTTCATACAAAGCTAAAGTAAAATGACCCACACTTCCTAAATGAAGTGAACCTGAATTTCTTTAGAGAGGCTTGTTCTATTTCTGGATGTCAGTTAAACCGACCTAAGTTTGCTGTGTGTATTTCTCACACTGTTGCACTTCAAAAACCCAAGGGCTTTGTGCTGCATTAGTTGAGCTGTTTGCTTTTTGCTCCCCCACTGTGAATTACAAACCTCCCTCTCTCTTCTGGGAGAGGAAGGAAATTGGTATATTGAGAATAAAGAACCCAGCACTGTAAATAATGTGTTTTGGGGTTTTGTTTTAGTATCCACGCAGATGTCTGCAGAAAACCATGGTGACCTTGATGGTGGTAGACAAAGAATATTCTAGAGACAGCATGTCTAGATAATTTAATCCCAAAAGCAGGGCATACATCATAACTAGTTCCCTAAGAGAAAATGGAAATGTGGGCAGTAAATAGTTCTTATGGCTAGATGAACCTGGATAATTTTATGTAGATGAGACAGGAAAAACAAGATCCAAATGAAGAGGAACTCTTTGGATATTTCAGGTCAGGCAGAAGCTTTGAGGAAGAGGTGCATTTGCCAAATCTCTCCTGTGTCTATCTGTGTGCCATAAACACGAGTAAAACTGCACTTTAGTTCCACTGAGCTAATCAGCCTTCCTGCAGGAGGGAGCTTATAGTGTGTGCTGCTTATGTGGGAAATTGCCAGCACACGTATACTTGATTAGCCAGCATATTATGAATCAGGGTCATAGCTGGAGTAGTTGCTTTGTTCAGAGATGCTCACATCCCTCGGGTAAGCAGCTAATTGCAGGAAATCTTTTAAAGCAAATGTGTGATAGGAAGAAAGCAATGAATATTGTTTATTCAAAAGGCAGGAGTGGTTCCTTTGAATCAGTTCTCTTGCATAATTATGTAATTAGGGCATGTTCTATTTTTAATTAAATCTCTTGCATATTCATGAAAATACTCTGAACCTGTAGACCAATTGGCATGACTCTTTAAAAAGTAGTTTGTATAAAGGAATGCCCTTCAATCTCTTTTTTTCCCTTTCATATTACTGCGCAAACACATATTTCACATTGTCATAGTTAGGCTGTATCGCCTGTCAAAACTAAAATATTATGGTAAACCATCAATACAAAATTCCCAGGGAAAAGTTTTAAATGGAGACGAAGAACACAAGAAGCTGCTGCTCTGAAATACTAATATCAAAATTGGTTTTCGTTGTATGGCTTGACCTTGTAAGATACCAATCAGTGAGTGGAGTTCAGTAAGTATACTTCATTTCCCTCAGCTTTTCAAATCCAACAGTAATTCTCTGTATTTGCAGTCTGCAGACTATCCATGTTCGTCTAACTTTGTTTTGTTTCTTGTGGGCTTCTGTGGCTCTTCCTGTTCTTCTGCCTCTTTGACAACAGCATTAGCTTTGATTCCTCTTCCAACTTCCTGCTTATTCTTAGGAGTCTTGCTTTCTCACCCGACTCCTGTTCTCACATCTGCCATTCTGTAGACTTGCTCAGTGCTGTATGTGAGAGCAAATAGATGTAAGCTCTGCTTTCCTTGAATATTTTTAATATTAGCATTTAGGTGAGGCTGCACATTTTGATTTACCACTATACCTCCTTATGTTTCCATTAGTTTGTGATTCATACCCTGTAGGTACTTCAGGGTTACACAAGGCAGGAGGACTAGATGGTCATTGCAGGTCCCTTCCAACTGAACAATGCTATTCTATTCCATGTGGAGCTCAGATGATAATGCACCATAATATAATTCTTTCATTAAGTTAGGTTGTCACTATCCTCTGATGATTTACAATGTTCATTTTACTGCTTTTCTTTCATCTCAGACCTCAATTCCTCCCAAATCTCAGGGCTTAACTTCTACCTAATGGAACACAACATAAAGAAAATACAGTGGCTGTTCCTTCCTCTCTAGCGAGAGTAGGAATGAAATTAGAAGCTGAGGCAAAGAAATAATTCTTGTGACAAGTGTCACTGAGTTCTCACAGAGGTCTGTCTTTTCATGTGTAAACCTGTAGAAGAGAAGGGATTTTTCGCTTAGTTCCGCGTGGAACAAAGACAAGGGCATTGAAATATATTAGCAGCACACACTGAGCCCTAAGGGGGGGCACAGCCTTCACCACACAATTTGTCCTTCAGCCTGTTTCCTCTGTTGTGATTGCTCCGTGAGCCACCACATGCTGTGGAGCTCTTCATGTGCATTTCACAGAATCATCAAGGCTGGAAGAGACCTTGAAGATCATCCAGTCCAGCTGTCAACCCATCACTGCCACTGAGATCTGTAAACCACATCACCCAGCGCCAGATCCAGACACCCCTTAAACACCTCCAGGGATGGTGACTCCACCACCTGCCTGGGCAACCTATTCCAATGCCTGACCACCCTAATGGTGAAAATTTTTTTCCTAATATCCAATCTGAATCTCCCTTGTCTCATCTTAAGGTAATTTCTTCTAGTCCTCTTGCTGCAGGCATGGTAGAAGATACCGGCTCCAACCTCACTACAGCCTCCTTTCAGGTAGGAGAGCAATGTGGTCCCACCTGAGCCTCCTCCTCGAGACTAAACATCTCCCAGCTCTCTCAGTCCTTCCTCACAAGATGTGTTTTCTAGACCTTTCATGAGCCTTGTTGCCCCTTAATGGACATGCTCCTGCACCTCAATGTCCCTTTTAAAGTGAGGAGATTTTCCCAGAGGCGTTCAGCTCAGACAGAGGCATCAGTTTCACGAGCCCTACAGTCACCAAAACCCTGAACTTCTTTTCCACAGCACTGGGCCAAAAACCAGCGCAAAGAGCATCAGCACCGGTGCCCCCGCTCTGGAGCGAAACCACCCCAAGTGCCAACGGAGGGCGCCCCGATGCAACGCCGTGTTCTGCTCTTCGCTGACACACACTTCGGGCAGACAAGGCCCTGTCGAGGTCCAGCAGCCTCGGGGATGCACCTGAACCCTTGACATCCCTGGGGACCGTGCCCGGCCGGGATGACGCCATGGGTGGGGGGCGGTGGGAAAGAAGGGCGCGCGGGCGCTTGTGGGAGAAGGGGGGGGAGCCGCCATGTCAGGAGGGGCGGGAGGGAGGGAAGGAGGGAGGGAGGGGAGCGCGGGGCGGGACAGGGGCGGCGGCCGCAGCCGCAGCGGCAGCAGCAGCAGCAGCGGGGCGGTGTTGGCGGCTGCCGGCAGCTGTCAGCCCCCGCTCCGCCGGCGCCCACCGCCCGCCTGTCACCGCTGCGGGGGGAGGGGGAGCACTGAGTGCGCTGCGGTGCTGACCCGCTTCCTTCCTTCCTTCCCTCCCTCCCTCTCTCCGGTCCTCTCTCTCCCCCCCAAAAAACCCCTTTCCTTCCTCCCTTCCGCCCGCCCATCGCTGACATCCTCCTCCGGCCGCCTCCCCGCCGCGGGCTGCGCGGCCCCCGCCGCCCCAGCGAGCGCTGCGCACATCGCCCGAGCTGCAGCACCGAGCGGTGAGCGGGGGGAGCCGCCCGGGCCGGGGGCGGCGGGCCGGGTGTGTGTTTGGGTGTGGGTGTGCGCGGTGTTTAATTCTTTCGCCTTCTCATCCGCCGCCGCGCAAACAACAAAAGGCTGCGCGGGCCGCCGGGTCCCCCCGCAGCGCCGCTGCTGACAGCCGGCCCCGTCCTTCCCCGCACCCAGGGCGGGGCGGCTTTCTGGGGAGGCTTCTTTTTGGGGGCGTTTTGTCACCTGCGCCCAGCGCTTTGGCTGTGGCGAAGGGGATGTCCCCCGGGATGGGGATCGGCTCGGCTTTGTCGCCGTTTCCTCTCGCTGCCGGCTCCCCTCGGTGCTGCGGCGGGCGCCGCCCTGGGAGGGAGCGGGGCGAGCCGGCCCTGCGGCTCCGGGCGAGCGGCGCTTTGTCTGCCACCCCCCCGGCCCAGGGGTCTCATTCCGCTGCCAGTTCCGAATCCGTGGAAGGCGAGGCGAGGAGAGGTCTTCCTCGGGCTTTGTACATAGTGACCGGATTTGTACGCTGTAGGTCACCTGCCGTGCGATTCGTGGTCGGAGGTGATTCGTAGACTTGGGTCTTGGCCGGGTTTCTACACCTCTAAAATAAGGAGAACATTGATGAGGGACGCGTTATCCTAGCAAAACTACACACCTGATTGAAATGATAACTCCGTCTTCAGGGCAGATAGTAATTGGAAGGAGGCTTTAAAGCCTTACTCGTTTTGTCTTCGTCTTTCTAGTATTTTTAGGTAACAAGATGCCAGATTTGTAGATATGCATAGCAGATGTCTGTAATCACAGGGAAGAACTTCTTGACACCTTATTGAATTCTGTGTTCTAAGCATATTGTAATGACTAAGGTGGCATCACCTAGTGTAATGCTATCACCAGGCTTTTTGAAGGCTACTAAATCAAATGATGGTGCTCTTACTCCGTTTGTTTTTTTTTTCCTGGTAATGATTTACATCAGTGGATATGATATAAATGTAGCATTAATACTCAAATACTGGTCATGGAACCAAAATACAGACTCAGAAAGTAAAATCAGCTAGCAAAAAATGGAAGTCTGTTTTTATAGTTTGCTTTGAACAGCAAAATTGTGAGCCAGTGTCATTCACGATATAAAATGCTTTCATGGTTATACATAAAAATACATAAAACTAAAACTGTTAGAATATAATTTTTAGCGGTTTTGTGATTGGCAGGAGTTTTAGCAACAATTACTCTGCCAAGTAATTGTCTCTTTCACTTCCACTTTTGTATTTGCTCATCACTTAAATAGCAAACTTAGGTGCAAATGGTGTGCATTGGAAGCTAAAAAGGAACCTTCGAGATCTGAGACAGCATTTTAATTAAAAACCCAAACAACAAAACTGAAAGCGACACCTTTTTGAATGCACATTTGGTTTAAAACTCCTTTGGAAAATAGCTTTATTTTAATTGAGTATGAATTCCAAAGCTTCAGCGAAACACGATAGAGGATATTATAACCCTAGGATTACAGATGCAATTGTGGAAGTTACACATTCAGCATTTACTGGCAGCAGAGAGAAAGCTGATCCATCTGGTGAGTCTGAGCAGAAGACCTTCTAAGTCACTTGCACAATAATTTTTGTGACCACATGGCTTAAGAGGACCTTTTCCCTGAAATCACAACAGATATGGAGAACTCTAACAGTTCCATTGAGGTGCTCATTTTATATAATGCAGATCCATTTGGGTAAATGCAGGGAAGCTAAATCGTCTGTTCCCGAAACTTGCCGATCAATGCAGTATCACTTCTGCATCGTGTTGCAGTTTAAGTTTGGCAACCGTAATGTTTCTGAAGGATGATGATGGAGCTGGACAGTTCTGGTAATCAAAAATTCTAATAGCAGTTCGAGCTTAGATTCCTTTCACCTGCTACAATATGGAATTAAAAAAGAGAATAAAATTATCTTCCAAGGGTCCTGTGCAATAGGCTCATGTACTGTTTGTCAAATCCCTATGATATGCTTAACAGTGCCTTGTTAATGGAAAGAAATTTTTTAAAAGGTCTGTGTTTGACAAAAGAAGAATCACGTAGACAATTTTTAATTAAATATACAGGAGTCCAGAATACAATCTTCTGAATGTTTTTGACATACAAGATTCAAAATGCACTCTACAGACACATATATAAGAGCAATTGCTGCTTCCTGCATTTATGAAGAACTTCCCATAGTAATGTCCCTCATTTGTGTGCTGCTCATACGGTGCACGTCTCTCTATGTGTATCTTTTTGTGTATACACACATACCTATGTATGTATGTCGTTTAATTGGGGGTTTGGGAAATATTGTAGCCTCATATTCAGTTCTGAGTCCATGAAATGCAGCTTCTCCTTCTCTCGAGACGTGGGCTTGTGCAGTTACTCTTTCGTCTCTTCCTCTGTTTGACTCCTCTGGCAGACGTGCAGTGGGATTTACTCTGGGATTGATAGCATCTCTTCAGATGCTCATGATTATTTTAAAACTCAATTCGGTGTACAAAGACTTGTAAAAGAATGTTTTTATAAAAGGAGTGAAAAATACGGAGATCTGGGCAAGTTTGTAAATAAGCAAAATATACTCCTGTATTTAATGCTGAAGAGCAGAGTAACAGATAGTGATGGGGACAAGCGTTCTAGGTCTAGTTAAATAAACATCCTTTGTAGTCAGTCTGCCTCCCGGGTGTTGTTCAGTATGACACTGCTGTTATGAAAATGGACCAATTCCATCATTATTGCAATAAAGTGAGTAGTTACAGGTACTTTTCTCTTAGTTCAGGCTCCATAATACTTGGTGTTTCCTAAGTATTTCTAATTGTTTCCTAAGAACATTATGTTTACCTTGGCCAAAGTTTAGAAAAACATTTATTTTTCAATGTTAACTCTCATATTCCTTCAAACAAAGGCATAACAGACATACTGTCTAATACATACTTTGTTGTAACCAAGTAGCAGTCCAAGACAGATTGTTCATTCTAAAAAGAAATCTCTTAGACTTCAAAATAGAACTGATTGTAATAGTTATCCTGAGTCACAGTCAGCTTCAGGTATTTTTGAGGGGCTTTCCCAGAATTTTCTTTAGTGAAATGTTTTCCTTTCTGAAAGCAGGGTGTAGAAGCAAGTGTGGTTCCTTTGAAAAATTCCTTGATAAATGCCTGACCAGGAAAAGGTGCACTTATGCTTACCTAGACTTGCTTTTGTTGCCATCATTTTACAGGCTTAAATTGGGCACTTTGTTATGAGGATCAGAACCAGGATTACAGATGCTTTCAGTGATAGAGGAATTATTTCCATAGAGTTCTGTGTGAGGTGCTTTGTAGTCATCAGGCATAAGATGACACTGTATTTGGGGGTTCTTTGTGCTAGACAATTAGTATACTTACTAATGACAGGCTGTGGTGAGTCGGCAAGCATGGGACCAAGATGTATTTGTGCTTCTAGTATCCATAATATGTTTGGGAATGTGAACAAAAGGTGAACACTAAAGCACGATTAGTACTAGATATGCTAATTTCTTGTGATGTATGGAGAAAATTAATCTCTGGTAGTTGACAGTTTCTTCAGATTCAGTCAGCTAAGAAAACAGATGCAAGTAACAGTATCTGTGTGTTGATTTAATCACCGTTTGTTTCTTTGAATCCAGCTTATCTCCCAGGGATTTTGCTGTTTAACTCTTTTTAGTGCAACCAGGAACAATCTTTACTCTTCACGGAAGCTGTGTTTTGACATTTTTGTAGAATAAAAATGAGTTTATTTTGTCAAATTATTGTTGGTTATGTTTCTTTTGCAAAATTAGGAAGTCATCTTATGTTACAGATATGCTTTCCCTCTGTCTACTTAAATGTACAGATTTTGTATGGGGTTTCTCAACATCAAATCTTGCTTACAGATAAAAGCAGTAAAATACCTTTTGCAGACACACTAAAAAGTGAGCAGTTTCCTGTTTTAGTTCTTTGAGATTCTACCATAAAACCCATTCATTGTGTTTAGATTTCCTTTCTGGAACTATAGATTTTGTTATACTGGAACTATAGCTGATTTTATTAAATTTTAAAGTGACTAAAGCAAAGGATGTAATGAGTCTAGTGGGTAGTGCAGGCTTCTTTACATTATCTTCCTTACATATTAAACTCAATTTACTATGTGATGTACTCCAGCAAGCCATTTGAAAAGTTGACATTGCACTGATTAATGTTCAGAAGTTCAAGAAATGTCTGATGTAAACCATCTTTTTGGTACTACTTAAAAAGTTGTACATACAAGTTAGTCTTTTTGAAGGACAATGCTTATATTTCTCAGAATTATCAGATAACTGTTTATCTTAATCCTTATCAGTGTTTGTATGTAGTTGTTAAGTAGTTAAATGTTAACAAAAAATTAGGATTGCTGGCAATGCGGTGTTATTTGCGTGTGTGCCACTCCACAGTGCAGTGTGGTGGTTTGAAGCTTTGAGTAAGGAATTGCAGTAACTGCATTCCTGCTACATCTTGAGTTTGCTCCTTCCAGCTGACAGTAGCTGAATGATTTGTGAACCACGTCACACAGATTAGGGACTGGCAAGGGAGGAGCACAGTTGTGTTGGGGTGGTTTATTTTTTTCCTGAATAGAATATTGTGTTTTAAGATTAAGTGCTTTTGTGGATGTTCCTTTATCAAACAATGGATGAATAGTGTAGGAAAGTCATGGTTCTCTTTCTCTTTCTGGCTTGGGCAGTTTCCATTTCAGAGAGGCTGCTGTTCCTCTGTCACCCTCCTGTCTTCAGCAGGAGTGGGTTTTGCTATACCCTCACCTTTAATGTTTCATTTGTTCCTGTGCTTAAACTGGGTGTTCCTCCTTGCTCCCTGCCCCCAGTCGTATTTCATGTGTGTTTGGAGGGAGAAGGGTTGATTAAACATGTGGGATTCCTCCCTGCCCCTCAGTGCAGGGGTTGGCAGTGTGTAGGCATTTTAATGCAACTATAGTGGGATGGTCATCTGTGAGGGTGTAGGGGAGGTTACA